TAACGTTTTATGAACAAAACAAGTCCAGGTGGGAGGGGGGGCAAAAAAAAATTTAAAAAAGGTATTAATATTTTTTCAAAAAAGGGGTTTTTAAGGGGGGGGACCAATGTTGCCAAGGGGGGGGACCAAAAAATTTTTTTGGCGCGCTTACGCGCGCAAATTGTGCTCCCCCCTAAACAAAAGCCCTCGTACGCCCCTGACTGGTTTCAATATACATATCTTGTTTGAAAAAAAGTTTATTATATGTTGTTTAATACGTTTATAATGGTTTATTACAGGTTGTTTTATATTTATTTTATTATAGGTTGCTCAATACAAGAGTTTTTATAGGTTGTCTGTACATATTTGATCAATACAAGATTTAAAAAAAAAATTATTTTCCTTTAAGATTACGAGAGGAAAGGATCTAACTTGAAGAAAGGAAGAAGAACACGAAAGAAGAAAGTAGGAAAGAAGAAATCAGAAATGAAGAAAAGAGGCTTTTTCGTCACAAGATTAGAAAAACTGGTGCCCTACCAGTTTGTGTTTTGTTACCATTGTAAAATATATAAACTATATACAAATGTGGCGAAAGATAATCTATGACTATAGGTTGTAATATCTAAATGATTTGTTTGAAATTAAATTGATTTTTTTACGGACTAAGTCGTATGTTGCAATTTTCTCAATTTGAATGGACGCTAAGTTATTCGGTATGAGACGTCTATTACAATTTTCTCCTTATAGACGCAACAGATAGAAGTAAGATTCGATCAAAAGTGCTTTTTTATCGCATTATGCCTATACCCCCTTTCATTTTTCGCGAATACTCCCTTTAAGCTACAGCGTCACTATAAAAATATACGTTATCACTCAATTGGATTGGCCTTGTCAAGCTAATCTGAACTAGTGTTGTCTTTATACATGGAAAACAAATCAGCCACAGCGCTCGGTCATCCTAGTCCGACCCAGCTGAACCACCAGCACTTTATAGCCTTTACCTTTACTTTAGCTACTATTATTTTTTCCTTTAGCTATATTGTTATTTTGTTGTTTTTATCCAGTGAAATAAAAATCAAAACTGAAAATGGATTTTCATAAATAAATAGAAAATATTAGAATTATGTCAACGTTTTAAAAAGTAATTGATAGTGTGCAGCCTTAATGATTTAATGTTTTTGTTCTTCATAATAAAAACTTAAATACATTTATGTAAATTTTTATAATTTTTTCAAATATTTTTAAGAAAAGATGGAGGTCGTTAATGGATTGCAAAAGAGAAATAAGACGAGGCGAGGGAAACCCTTGAGGTCGGGGCCCACCAGCCTCCTTATGGAGGACAAGCTAGAGATGTACAGGGAATTCATCTTAACTCAGATTACAAGGGTTTCAAGATAAAAATCTTTTGAGAATTAAACAAACTATAAGGAAAATTCCGATTTTTTTAAAAGACACTTTTCAAATTATCGAAAAAACTAGACATTTGCCATAAATAACAACATTTTTAGAATATCAAAAAACGGATAAATGGGCGGTTTTCAGTGGTTTAAGACGTATCTTTTTATACCGATTGGAAAATCAACCTTCACTGATGATCGCTAATTTTTTAAATCGTTAATCACTCAATGAGTTTTGATTGTTAAATTTTTGCTTATACAAATTTTGGTAATAATTTACTGCTCTGGTGCATACAGAATTTAACACTTTCGATGAAATAGTTTCACTCTTAGGAGTCATTTTATTCTGATCAGGACCCTGGATCCGCACGGAAAAAAATGGATCCAGACCCTGGTCATGAATATTTTAAAGATTTATTATTTTTTAACAAAGTAGACCTGTTAAATATATTTTTCTTCTTATAATTTACTACCGTGAGATTTTATTGGTGCAAACAGAAATTGTCATTTTCAATGAAATAGTTTCACCCAATTAATCAGCGATTAGCATCCATAAAATTCTGATGCGGATCCGGATCCTGGAAAAATTAATCCAGATCCGGGTCTAGGTCATACATGAACATTTTTAAGATTTAATGATTTTTTTAACAAAGCAGAATCGTCAATTTTTTTTTTTTATTACCCATTCAGATATCAGGAAACGTTAATAATCTGCTCTCTTTTTCAACAGTTAAGATTTTGCTTTTGAGAGTAAAAAAGGTATTTATTTCAGTTTTTGGTTGATATTTTGCCCCTTGTATCCGGATCCAAGGATTCACATATTATTGTGGATCCTGACTCAGAAAGCCAAAATCTTGTATATGATCCGGATCCTAAGCACTGCCTTTAAATAAAAAGCTGAGATGAACTATGCCTGGTGTAGAGAGATGAATATGCTTGAACCCCCTTCTCGTATCTCCTGCAACCTTATTCTTGGGTAAGAACAGTTCAGTAAACATTAAACAATAAATATTCTTTTGTGCACCGTCCTCTTTCTTCGTTTTTTTTCATATTCATTGAGAATTTAAAGTTGTGTCAAAAGTTTGTAAAAAAGTTTTTTTTATTGACTAATTTATGTTTTTTTTTCAACTGTTAAATGTTTAATTTATTGACTAAACTATGTTTAAGTTATTGACGTTTCTATGTTATATATATTGACAAATCTATGTTTTTTATTAACTGCACAATGTTTATTTTATTGACTACTCTTCTGTTTTATTTTTTATTTTTGACTAAACTAAGTTTTATTTTTTGACTAGACTATGTTTTTTATATTGACTAAACTATGTTTTATATATTGACTAAACTATGTTTTATTTTTTGACTAAACTATGT